AGAAAGTACTATTGATTTTCCTAATGAACCTTTTGTTGCTGTCGTTTCAGCTCTTTGTGACTTGTTTAGCAAAGAGGAAATCCTCAAGATACCAGAAAAGCCAGTACCTTCTAATCCGTCATCGCCTGAAGGAAAAAAGCCGTCTTACGCCCATAAACGGGCCCATAGTATTGTTACAGCAAGTTCTACTCAAAATCAAGAGGATCTGTTTGCGTTAGCAAAATTAGGAGATATCGCAAGCATTAATATTGATAGATTGACGACGCACGAGCCTGGCGTTAGCGGATGGCAGATGCTGACATCAGAATTGATTTCTGCTTCTTGTTCTCTCACTGCAACACCTTCTGTCAGACTAAGAGCTGCAGAGATTCTTGTTAGAATTGTGATTGAAGCGGCAACTTCTACACTCGCAGACTCCGAAGTTCGACGAGGTCTTGTCCAAACCATGCTACTTCAAGCGTTGAGTCGTGCCCTGCGTCCACTTCAGATGGAAGATAGGCAAGTCACAGTAGCCATACATTCGACCGATGTCGAAGTCCACAAGACTATTCTTGAAGGCCTGAAAAGTATTCTTGAGCAATGTGGAGAGAAGCTAATCAGTGGTTGGGACATTGCATTTGAAATCATCGGCAGTGTTTTCATGAATTTTGACCGCGAAGCAAAAATCACTGCTACTCGATCTGCTAAATTAGTCCGTTCTGCTTTCAATTCTCTTCAGCTCATCTGTTCGGACTTCCTTTCGTCATTGCCGAATTCTTGCTTTTTAATACTTGTCGACACTCTTTACCATTTCTGCACGCAAGATGATGATCTTAACATTTCACTGACGGTAACATGCATCCCAAAAAGTCCTCGATCATTTCTAATAATTTTTAGACTGTTACCTTCTTCTGGGTGCTGTCAGATTTCATCTCTAGTAGAACCAGTTCTTTTTCACTTAGCCCTGATCTTATCGAAGATTCAACCGAGGAAGCTTTAATTGAAAAGGCATCTGGTGAAGACCGCGCCGTTTCAGACGCAGCTTTATGGATGCTTCTCTTACTAAGACTCACATCTGTTACGGCAGATGAAAGATTGGAGCTTAGAAATAGTGAGTGTAGACTGCTATTGTAGTGGGGCCTTAACTAACTGTTACAGGCGCAATTCAAACGTTGCTAAGGATATTCGATGCATACGGAGATCAGCTCAGCGCAGTAGCATGGTCTATGTGCCTGAAATCGGTCATTTTTAGACTACTTTCCTCAATAGAGGCACATTTACACTCTATCACTGACCCTACGCCGAAGCTTACACTATCTGATAAAGACAAGATAGGGTGGAATGAAACTACTGTCGTGGTGTTGAGCGGCATTACTAATCTATTGGCCGATTATTTAGATGTCCTTACTAACCATCCCACATTCGAAAGCTCTTGGAAAACCCTCCTGGAACATTTTAAAACAATGCTGGATTTCAAGATTCTCGAAGTCAATACAGCTGTTTTCAAGGCCTTGCAACAAATTCTTTCCCGTGGTAATATCAAAGAGGGCACACGAACAAATTTTACTCGATCTTCAGTTGATATGGCATGGAGTCTTTGGTCTGATGCTCTGCCTTCAGTGAACATCGATGTGTTGGATAAACGTGCTGACAACCAGGACTATCTGGTTGCTTATGTGTCTGCTCTTCATGAGATTTATCGTCTTGTGCAAAAAGATCTCGATGCAAATCGAGTCAAAAGAATGCTTACTCTACTCCGGGAAGCTATACAACAAGCGAGCGCTTCCACCTATTCCGCAGATATCGAGTACCTTACACCACTACAGTCTCAAGTATTAGAGTCGCTTAAAATGATTCGTACCGATATTGAGGGAGTTCCTGCTACCTTAATCAGCCAGGTTGCTGAATTTGTTACATTGGCTTTCGTGCCAAAAGACACTACATCTAACGTACAGAGGCCAACATACGTTGCATTGTCCAAAGCTTCGATGGTCTTATCCGAAAAGCTCATTCTGTCACATTCCTCGGAACCAGATATATATACGAGCGGTGCAGTATCTTCTTCTTTGTCAGCGCTTGCGAATCCCATTGTTACAAAGTACTCGTTTCCCATAATGTCAAAGAGCATATCACCTTGGCGTCAGGCCACAACTTCAGCACTTGCCATCTTGGGTGCTATTTTGCCAATAATGCCAGCTATTACCTTGAATGACGAAGCCGTACGGTCTATATGGGCCTCGACGGTGAGCATAGCTATTGGGATCACCTCTGCAGATTTTGATACTGCGGCAAAACTAGCCGATATCAAAGATGACCAGAATTTCGATATTGCATCATTCCTAGCCTTGCGCGGGCTCATTACGCCCGCACTGGGCTCCGAAGTTATCCCCGATCGGATCCGCCGCACTTACACTGAATCGCTCTTCCACATGTCCATCATCCACCCTGCACAGCCTAGCGAACTTCCGCAGCCCGGTCAAGAACTACTAGCCACCTTATATCTAACCCGCAAAGGTCGCACTGTTGATCCCATCCCCTCGCCCCGTGCAAAAATGAGCTATGTTTGTTTCGATGAACTCATCTCTCTTGTCACTCTCAACGATGGCTCTGTGCCGCGCATCAAGCTCGCTCAAGCAGCTGCACCATACTTAATACTCAGATCAGGCCTCACTATTCGCGCATATATTGCTGATCAACCACTGCGCGGTCGCATGCCACAACCATTGTCCCAGCGTAAAGAACTTCTATATATCCTCAAGAAACTTGTCGAGTTGAAGTGTGAAAGCGAGGCAATCCCAGATACACTGGGTGTGGAAAGTGAAGGCAAAAAACATTTACATCGATTATATCCGTTGTTTGTGAAGGCTATGGGAGCGGCAGCGAGAGATCAAGAGGTCTTGGAGTGGATTGGGAAAGCGTTAGAGGAGGTAGGGATGGAGTTCGGGCTATGAAGAAAGATGAATATGATGTTCTAAAAATGTTTGAGATGAAATTTGGGAATGCATATCAAAGCAGCATTAGAAACATGGCGTTGGTGCTTTTCGTTACTCTTCAAATTGCACTGAGGTCTACATCTTTAGCTTGGAATTAGAACCTGTTTTTTTTAGCTGGCGTCATTCCAAATCGAACGTCTAAAGTCATAGATTTAAAATAAGTTTTATTTTATGTTTGGTAATATTTTGAGTTTGTGTGAGTTGCAAAGACTACCTCTTCAATGCTTGGGTAGGTAAAAGGTATTTTTTTATCGGCAGCATCTGACCCCGCCATAATAAATACAACATACAGTGGCTCGCTCATAAACGCATATCGCTGATAGTCATACATTCAACTCCCCTCTTACTTTCCTGGCCCCCGGTCCCCGTTTTCAATTTCCTTTTAGGACATCTCTTTTTTTTCATGTCATGTTATATCGTAAGTTTACTTTCTGGTGGCATTCTCAAAAGACGCAAGCATGCTTCTCTTCATCTCGTCATTCGGGGACTCATTTTCTGTGCTCGTCTGTTCTGCGCTCTTTTGTCCTTTCAAAACCTTTGCGGCCATGGTCTTCGCTTGAGCATCACCAACTTTTCCGTATACTGCCATGGCGCTAGCGATCATGCTTCCGATATCCCCCACATTTCCAGGGACGACAACGGCAGTACCCTCTTTAGCGAGCTTGCCAAATGCTTCAACGTACTTTTCAGCTACACTGAGACTGACAGCTCCTTGCGCTGATTCTTCTCCTGAAGCAATTGCCTGAGCTACCGCCTCGATACCTGCAGCTGTAGCTTTTGCCTTTAACAAAATAGCTTCGGCCTCACCACTTGCCATATTGATTTGTTCGCTTCTCAGCGCTTCAGATGCCAAGATCACACTTTGCTTTCGACCCTCTGCGATATTGATGGCGCTTTGTCTTTGACCTTCGGAATCGAGAATTTCTGCACGTTTGCTGCGCTCAGCAGTGACTTGTCTATGCATAGCCTCCATAACTCCTTCCGGTGTGTGGATATCCCTAATTTCGTAACGCAGACAAATGACACCCCATTCCTGCGCAGCTTCGTTAATAGCAGCTGTGATATTGGTGTTCAAGGCAGCGCGCTCCTTGAGAACTTGATCGAGGGTAAGTTGACCGATTTCCGAACGCATAGTTGTTTGTGCCAGTTGAGAGATAGCATATTCTGCATCCTCGACTCCATAACTTGAGATATGTTAGCGTATTTCCCGACTAAGAACTCAAAGGTATATTACCTAGCCTTGTAGGCATCAAAGACTCGAGTATAAAGCACACCATCAAGCTCCAAAGTAACGTTGTCGGTGGTGATCGCACTTTGACTCGGAATCTCAATCGCAGACTCCTTCAAGCTCTTGACATATGCTATCTTATCTATTATGGGCAATAAAATGGCGAGACCAGGCTCCAATATGCGATTGAACTTTCCCATCCGTTCTACAATCCATGCTGTTTGCTGAGGAACGAATCGAATAATGGTATTTGCGGGTAAAGACGGTCGCTGAAAATATGAAGTCGGAAGATTCGAGTTATTGATTCCCATCAAACCGCTATTCGGTGCTCTTATCCTGGAAGAGACATGGAGCTGTCGTTGCTGTTGTGTGTATCTTTGAGAGAGAATGGTTTGAGCTCTGGGTAACAGAACTCGAGATGTGATTTTTGGGAGAGAGGCCGAGAAACTATGAGATAGTCCCGGCGCGCTGATGGCCATGCGATAGGTTGCCTCTAGAGACATCGTTGTATATTTGTATGGGGGCGATAGCTATCTTTCGTAATGACCTTTCAACATCATAAGATGCATGGCGGAGCTGGTCCGAGAAATTAAAGACTAGCGGCCGCGTCTCCGTGCTGATAAGCTCCATCCGAGCTCTCACTTTCTACTGTCAATTTACAAACTTACTACGAGTGTTCCAGCACATTTGATACCGGTACTTTATTATACTCTCTCAAATTTGACGATATACAATTCTTTGAGCAGCGGCACACCACTTATAGTTTCAACCACATAATCAATTCAGATCTTTTCAACAAGATGTCAGAATACTGGAAATCAACGGTAACTTTCAATCATCCCCTCCAGCCTACAACCACTCTAACACATTCAATAGCCCAGTTACTGGTGCAAGCACTGCAAACAATACGTCAAAGACACCAAACTCGAGAAAACCAACCACGAAGCCAGTCCACGGCACCAAGGCAATCTCAAGCGCTTCTTACGGGATCTACACCGGGGGCACGAAAAAGACGAGCGAGAAAAAGACCGTGCCAAAAATGAAATCGCCCGTCTGAACGGTATTGTGAGCGGAAGCGGCGACGCAGGAAGTTCCTCACAAGCATCGCGGCCTAGTTCTTCGATGGCGAAAGCCCCCGCGACGGCGGCGCAACGAAAACAACAACTTGCCCAATTGGCGGAGCTGGGGGTGAGCGTGCCAGATGAGTTTAGATCGGATTTGGCAATGGCAGGTGAATGGCAGGTTACTTCGGAGCGGGTGATTGATGATGGGAGTGGGGAGGTGAAACCGGATGCGCTGGCGTTGGGGGTTCGGAAGAGAGAAGCGGAGGATGAGGATGAGGAGGCGAGAGAGGCGAGGAAGAGGAGATGGGGGATTGCGATTCGCACGTATCCTACGGAGAATAACGATGATGATTTAGATGCTTTATTGAACCATAGCAGTAAAGGCAAGGGTCCCGATGTGAAGCCCGAAACGAACGATGGTACCAATATAAAGATGGAGAAAAAGCCCGAAGAAGGTGTGGAACTTCCAGTGGATAGCAAAAAGGAGGAACCGGTTGTGAAACCCGAAACGGAGGATGATCTCCAAATCGACATAAAGCAGATCCCGGAAGCCACAGAGCAGACCAGTGAGCCTGCAGCGTCAGGAGTCGTCTTCAAGAAGAGAAAAGCGAAGAATATTCGCCAACGATGAAACGCCACAATCAGAATTTGCGTATCTAAGTGCTCAAAATCAAGCAACACATCCAGGTCATGGAAATCCCAATATTGGGCATACCATAAAATATCGAACACAAATGTTCGAGCAAAGCCGATTATAGCGGGGGAAGATCCTTATGTTGCGGGGGCGGGGCACATGCCTACTAATATAGCTCTGGAATGGTCTCCCATTCCGTCTCGCCATAAAATGTAGCTTGGTAAACAAGCTAATTACTTTGATGCAACAGCGGATGGAAACTCCGTTAAGAGAACCTCCTCAAATTTTAGCTCACGATTGGAGAGGTAGGTACTCAGCTGCATATAGGAGCATTATGCAAAGAAGTAGAAAGAAGAGCTCCCAATTCGGACTCCATGCAGCTAATCATTCGTACATGAAGGTCAAGAAAATTCACCTGAAAAAAACTATGTCTCGGGCATCCTTAGAAGAATTACTCGGCGCAATAGAACCTGATTAGTATTCTACAATCCACACACGTATCACACCTCAATATCACGCACAATTCCCATCTGATTATTTAACTGTATGGTTTAATTTGAGTCTATCCATAACTAAGTAGCCCCTATTCCCTCTCCCCACAAACACAACCCATCCCCAACCCCATCCCAAAAAGACAGCCTTCCTGCACCATGAGTCCGATCAGATACCCATACCTACAAGCCCGTGAATTTTTGGCTGCACACTATAGAAGTATACTATGTCAGTTCCTGAATAAACGAATCCATCGCCAATTGCGCCTATAAACAGTTGTAATATATCACTTCTCAGATTCCTCACCACTCCATTCATCCACAATCTCGCTAGTTTAAGAAAATAAAAGTACCGCTGTGTACAAACATGTAAGTCATGTGTACTCGCTAGTGTGTAGAAAGGAAATACATCGCAGTGTCAATTCGACTTCGCTAATTATTCATGCATCGCATTACATTGTATCATCTCGTCATGAACAATCTCTCCCCCTATCAATTTACTTCTCTCTTTATTGAGTTATTTCGTTGTTGGATTGGTTTTGTAAATTTGATCCTAGTTGTTTCCCACTCTCCTCTGCTGAACTCATGAGAGCTGGGGTATCCGGTGTAAGCGTGAGCTGGGGTGTGACAATGCTGGTATCGATTTTTGTGTCTGGCATCTGGAGCCCCATTGAAACTTGGTGGCTGAGCTCTAATCTTGGGGGTGAATCTCGGGGTCGTAAAGTTTCCATGCTCACATCCATGTCTTGAGCAGCGGTTTCATCAGGGCTTCCGCGTCTAGAGCCCGATGCTTCACGTGCATTTTCAACATGGATCGCATCAGGCGTTTTCTCGTTGTCATTCTCTTTTTCAACCATAGCCGTTATACTCCGAAAATTGAACATAGACTCAGCTCCCGTGTCGCCATCTTCGTTCCCATCATTTGTCTCTGTAGCACCAGGACTTTCAATACTTGTAGAAGAGCCTTGAGGATTGGTGCCGTTACCCGACTCAGCTATTGAAGATGAGGCGCTCGATGCGGTACTCATTTGTCGTAAGTGAGAAGGCTTGTCAGGGCTTGTAGGTGAAGGAATAGACTGATGAGTCTCTAACAAGCTAGAACTCGTCGAAGGATCTGGATACTGAGCACCAAGAAGCCCATTATCCGTGGCACTCCCGTCATTACTCAAATAGGGGCGAGCTACACCTTTTCCTTTTCCTTGTAAAGGCTCCTCGACTTCTTCGGGTGTCACTTCTGTAGCCAAATTGCTTGCGGCACTATCACCTCTCCTTCGCCCAGTAAAAGTGGCAGCTAGACTGTTGCCTAGGTTCAACATACTCGAACTAGCCGAATGTCCGTTAGTGCCATAGATAGACTTTCTCTCTTTTTTCTCTTTCTTTTTCTCTTCTTTGGCCTGCTTCTTTGCATTTTTTGCGGCCTCCTTGGCGGCTTCTTTGTCGGCCTTCTTCTTTCGTTCCTCTTCGGCCACGATACTAAGTCTAATCGCCTCGGCCATCATCATCTCCTCGACGTCCCTCGTTCTTCGAGCAGCATTAGAATCTCGACCTTCCCTACGCGCTTGACCAGATGACTCAGCTGCAGTCCTGGAATTGGTATCGCGGTTCGAAGGGGTAACAGATCCGCTATTGTCAGGTTCGGTACGGTTTCTACCGAAGCGACTTCGTCCGAAAACATAGCTGCGGTTTTCCGAGGTTCCGGGAAGTACATAGGCAGCTGCGTGTAGTGCCGAAGCGGCAGCGTTCTTTTTGGCCTTTCGCAAGTTAGCAGCTTCAAGTTTTGCTGACCAGTCCGGTCTGATGCGGTCAGTCGTAATGACATTTGAATCATTAGCTGACAATGAAGTAGCTCGGCGCCTGTTGTCTCCTCTTGGTGCAAGCCCCGGACTTGTTATAGGCGGCGAACTGATCGATGATGACGATGACATGGCTGAAGAGAAGTTGGCCAGTTCTCGAGATGGCATTGCATAAACAAGACCACGGCGGAAAGGCGGTGGTTCGTATGTTACGCCAAACTCAGGTCGCTGACAGTAAGGGCAAGCGGCTGGTTCCGAAACCAGCATTTCTGTATCTTCGGCTTGATCGGGCGCGGGCTGTGGTGGACCGTGGTGTTCTGGCGTATGTGGATCTGGTCTCTTAATTTGTACAAAGCATTCCGAGCAAATACTTTGGTCGCAACATCGAGTCCTATTAAGATACGGGGGGTAAAATATCAAGCATATTGAGCATTCAACTGCGTCTTTGTACAGAAAAGCCTCGATAGCTTGGCCATTTACTTGGGAATCTCTAGGCAATTGAATCTCGCGCGGCCCTGAATCCGTTGCCGAGGTTTCCTTCGACGAAGATTTCAGACCTAACGTTCTAGCTCGAGGTCGAAGCAAAGAGGTAGAAGTGGCAGGTGCATTAAGGGGCGATGCTGGCGATGACGTATTGAAAGATGAGTGTGACGCTGAGCGGCCAACTGAAGTATCGTATGAAGCAGATTGGCTTCGTGAAGCTATTGGCACAGTCAAATTTTGTAGATTCGAGTTCGGTGCATTCGTGGAATTAGAAGAATGAGGCCTGGCACTGTCTTCGGATGGTATTTCATCAGCGGCGGGAATGGGAAGGCCTCGCCCTGCAGCAACCAACTGATGCTCGGTCCAATCACTCTCGTAATCATCTAAGCCCCTCCAAAATGGTGCAACTCGGCGCTCAATCTCGTAGATGTCAGCATAATGACCAGGCATCAAAATCACAGTCTTTAACATACCATCAACTGTCTTACTATTGCCTTGTTGAAATCTTCTGGGCCAGTGTAGACACCCATTGTAACCAGATATCCGCCATCTACATGCTCCTCCCTAATGCTTCTCGCTCGCTCTTCCACTCTTGCAACCCTCTCCCTTTCGAGTCTCCTTATTTGTCGCTCGGCCGCTGTCTCCTTCCTCTCCGGTACTTCGTTATTTGATCCGCCTCCCACAATAGCTGCTACTAGATTCCGCCTGCTGCCTCTGCCAGCACGAGAAGAATATGGATCTTGGTCGGATGGAGAAGTTGGCCCACTCGTACCGGCGTCATGATGTCGGCGTCTATCCCCGCCATGCGAGTCGTCCCGCGACTGGTGCTGACCCATTTTGCAGTCGCAATGTCCGCAGAAGTAGAAATCAACTGTTCATCGAGGATCGGGGTCGGAAAGAACTATATCCAAGATAAAGTCTCGAGTTGGCATGCGCTGCCAACTTCTTGAGATTGAGTGAATGTTGTGAATTTATGCAGGTTCTCGGCAAGCGTGGGGAGTTGTGATTGTAAGGTTTATTATTATATCGCCTGAGCCACAGTAAAGTTCCGCTCCCAATCTGGATCACACGAGCTAAATTCAGATAAAGACGAATTGGGCACCCTTTTTGTTGTTGACAAGAGGGGGGAGGGAGAGGATACAATCAGCTGCGACCTTTTGTGATATTCCTCGTCTTGACCAGCCGATGGATTTTTTTGAGGAGGTAAAAGAACTTATTAGATAACTTGTAAATGAAGGGAGTTCTGAAGAAAGATTGGCGGAGTGGCTTTATTTCTTGTACTCGTATTCCTGTAGCTAATCGTCAAGATGCCTATATCCCTACGAGAATGTCGATCTCCTGAGTTGTATGATGGAATAGTGGGTAAGAGAAGTCCAAAGTTAAATTTCTAGGAGCGTTATGACGGTACAGGGAGAGATAGACCAAGCCTTAATATAACAATGCAATCAACGCAGGAGAAAGGTGGAAGGTGGAAGGGGAGTTTCTCTGTTGGAGAGTGGTGTTGAGAGTGGAAGTAAAGCATGGAAGGATTGAAGAAGAGAAGAAGAGAAGGATTGAAGAATTGAAGAATTGAACAGTTGAAGAATTAACAAAGAATTGCATTCAACATTTGCAATCCATACATAGCTGGGTAGTATACTAGTAATAAGTAGTAGTAGTAGGTAGTTATTCAATCAATCAATCCATAAATATATTATTTACTAGTCGTGGCCAGACGGATTCCATATCGTTAGGTGAAAGGTTTATAAAAATGGGTTGGCTGTAAGGCCACTCTTTCCGACCGAGTGAAAGCAGGTACAAATGCGGTCCTCCGTAGACGGAAATCACAGTGCAGGGCAGGGCAGGGCAGGGCAGGGCAGGGCAGGACCGATAGATTCAATCAAATATGACCCTCTACTAGGTGCTCGCGTGGTTACGACCGAATCATTTCTAGAAAGGCATATGTTCTGTACAAATATAGCTCTATCTCTGTCTCTGTCTATGTCGGTGGTTGTGTCTGTGTCGGTGTCGGTGTCTGTGTCTGTGTCCGTACCAAGACAGATACTTTTCGGTACGTCGGTATGTATGATGATTCCCAAGCGTTCACGTCAAATGCAAAGGGAACCAGCCCAGCCCAGCCATCATTTTATCCATGCAATCATAACATAATCCCTACCCAGGTGCCATGTGTCTGTCTGGTCTCCAACATCATTTCAATGCCATCTACATCGTACATGCTAACAAGTAGGTA